CCTCTTTTCTTCGCATTATATCCTGGAGCACACTGGTTTCATCTACTTTGTCGAGCATATCACCTTTGACCTTTTCCAACTGAGCAACAACTTCTCTAAACGTGTTTCAAAATCGGTTAAGTCTTTCTTTGAACAACGACTCTTAAGATGATATTGCACTACGCAATCGCTTCAAAGCAGTATTATGAAGAAGTTTACTCCCCAATTCCTCAAGATGATATCAACTGTACCTGCGAGCCATCTCAGCTTTGTTTCGAGCGGCTCTCTCGGTCTCTATATCTTCACGGAGCTCGTCAATCGTTGCTTGCATGTCGCGTATCTGCTTCTGAAGAAGAGCGATGGTGGCAGCTTCCTCATCGGACCTGGAGCAACACGCGATTGACTTAAACTATCTTGAAAGCTAAATCAAAAGTTGGCCCAAAGTAGCCACTAACCTCGTCAAAACTTGGGACAATTCTTCCTCTCTTTTCATCAGCTGACCGTTGAGCTCTTCAAGCTTGCTTCGCTTTTCTTCTAATAACTCACGGCTATCGTCAAGTTCACTGATAAGCTTCCGCTTCTGCTGCTCCAGTTCACCCTTGATTTGGCGTTCTCGAAGCAGTTCTTGTTCCAATTCTTGAACATGCCCTTCAACCTGCAATACCACTATGCCAGTACTTGCTATGCGGTGCAATGAAGTTAACATATGAAAAGCTTTCAAGACTGGACCTTTCCACGCTGTCTGGCTACTTGTTTCACTCGTTCCTCTTCTTCGCTAAGTTGTTGGTTCAGCTGATTCATCTTGTCTTCAAGGATTCGCTTCTCTTTCAGCAGTTTGTCATGCGCATCCTGTAGATGAGATCGTAGACAAGTTCTCCATTGGATTAAGATTCATTAATTTACCGTGATATCCACAAGCTTTATTTCAACGTTTTTAACGCGTTGATCTACATTAGCTTTGTCGAGTTGGAGTTTTTGTCGGGCCTGTTCTTCTTGTTCCAGTTGTTCCTCAAGATCTCGGACAGTTTCCTAGAGCAGTCATATAAGATTGAGCTTCTTGAAGTATAAATGAAAGAAAAAGGATAGAATACTCCTCCAAGCTAATGTCACATGTCAAACAGCAAGTAAAATGAAGAAGTAACATACAACAAGTTTCTTCTTCTCTAGTGACATTTTTTCCGTACGCTGTTCTTCGTCCACTAAACGATCACGCATTTCATTGACCATTTCTTCCAGTTCATTTTTCTGCAAACCTCTCATCAAAAATTGCAATGAGCGGAGAACAAATTTACAAACCTTCAACTGCAGCCGATTTTTCACTTCTTCCAGCTCAGCATTGTTGTCCGTTTCTTGTTGCAATTGATCTTGTAAGACATTTCTTTCAGCAAGAACCTGCAATTGTAAATAAGATTGTGTAAATAACATCAAGTTTCAACAGCCAGTTCTGATCTATTTTTTTTGCTCTAAAACCACAAGTTCTTACTGGGTTGCGATTAACTGTAAAAATTATTGTCATCTTCTCAGGAACTCTTTCCCGACTCTGGACTGAGGTGATCGTCTATTCCAATTTTTCCACACATTTGATTATGTATGAGTACAGAATTGAATATAGGGCGTAAACATGAAATCTAGAGCTATTTTTGCTTCGGAGAATATATCATCTTCCTTATCCACTTAGTATGGTTCCAGCTCAAGAAACTGAGAAGCAATAAATCTATGAAAAGCCTCTTCGAGTAAGCCTTTGTCAGATAGGCTGTTGGCAAAGCAATGATGACTTCTGTAGGTCAATGCATTAAGTTTGAAATGAAGAAATAGAATGTTGCTTACCTGGTCGATCTTGCCCAGACTCTCCTTATATTCGCTTTCAACCTTATCCAACTTCTCACGGACAACGCGAAGTTCATCCTCTTTCGCAGAAATGGCTGCTTCTTGGTTGGTCACTTGGAGCAGCGGTTTCACCTATAGAAGACATTATAACGCATACTCTAGCGGTAAGCGTAGAAGCATCTAAAAGTTAAGATTTTGTTACCTTTGTAAAAAGTCTCCACCACTGCCAATTCCTCAACTTCATCCAAGCTAAACCGTTTCGTTGCAGTACCCGGATAGCGCTGGACTGTTGCATCTGGAATTGGCACATGATTGAACATTGGAGGAATTCACCTTGTCAAAACACAAACCCTCTTTACGTAGAGGCGTCTCGCCAGGAAGGCACGACATTGGGCTTGGAACTGGATGATCAGATCTGTCAGTTTCAAATCCCTATAAAGCCAAAAATTAGTGGAATGAGAATCAATACACATAGATAAGATTTTGTAATGTAGCCTACCTCTCCTCTTCAAGATGAGCTAGTACACCCGTACGGAAGAACACTTTTGATTGACCAATGCGATAAAGGTTAGAGTCGATTTCCAAGTATTCGATCATCTTCCTTTAAATATGCAAAAAAAGGTGAGGTTCTCAGGCAGCTGTGTACTATAGGTATTTACTTGACCGCTTCCTTTCCATCCATGAAGCCGCGAGGAATAACGTTCGGTGTCAGGATTTCATAGCGATGTCGGAACTCTTGAAACGGTACTCTGTTCGGGAATCCTTGCCTACAGATACGGATGCCTTCCAGTACTCCGTTACATCGAAGTTGTTCTAGGACTAGCATCGAATTTATTTTACCAGCCTAAAACAAACTACATCTCACTGCTCAGCAGAAGAATCCAAAAAACGTAGTTAGCGTTTTTGAGAAACGCCACACTGCTTTTCAACGGATCATACCTTCTTCTCGTGGTTGGGAATTATGCATCGCACGAAATGTGGACTTGTGTTTCTCAGTGTGGTCATGAGTCGAGTAAGTTGCTCCTTGTGCAATTGAGATACAGTACGGAACATGCCCTTCTTGGCTCGTACACCAAATGCCGTCTCGTTCATCTCAGCAGCGCATATGCCAGCAAATTCAGCTAGAATTGAAAATACATAGAAATGAATTTTTCCAATTTGAAAAACTGGCGAACCATCTTTCCAAATCCCACAAACGAATGGATCCGTTGACGCCTGCATTAGGGCAACAACATTTTCATTCAGAGGATCCATGTTCTTCATCAGCCACTGGTCGGCGGAATAGTCAACGCGGCCTAGAATTACCCAAATAGAAACCAACTTGGACGGATTTAGTTGCCAAGATGTAAAAGTTACCAGCATAATGAACTACAGCAAAGTCGCTCTTCGCACGCATATCCGGCACTATAAACTTTGGATGTTTGCTATGCGTCTTTTGCAGTTTTTCCACAAGTGTTTTGTCGGTAGCTTTCGGGAAAAGACATTGTTCATCCAAAAGAGCCAGCAATCCCATTGGTTTCTCAATCAAATCGATCGTAGGTTGCAGATCGAGACCAAAATCGATGAACTGCCATTCAATTCCTGGAAAAAAAGCAGAGCAAGGTATTGAAAACGATTAGAAACCTTAATTCTTTGATAACTGTATTAAGAGTATCTGCT